AGGCTGAGGCAGGTGAATCACTTGACCCTGGGAGGCAAAGGTTGCAGGGAGCCAAGATCATGCCATTGCACTCCAGCCTGGGCAACGAAGTGAGATTCTGACTCAAAAAAAAAAAAAAAAAAAAAGGAAAGTAAAAATAATCTACCACATAACATAAAAAGGAGAAAAATCATTTTATTATATCAACTGATGAAGTAAAAAGCATTTGATTGATGAAAGTAACACTAATTTATAATAAAAACGCTTAGGGAACTAGAATGAAAAGTTCCTTATATGATAAAGAAAATACCATAAAAGGAAGCTTGATGAAATATTGAAGCTTTAGCCCTAAAATTGGGAGACAAAGATGACAGCTATTAATGCTTATACTCAGCATTGTATAGGACATTCTAGCCAGCAACAAAGCAGTTAAAGAAACGGAAAGTGTGAATTGGAAAGGAAGAAATACAACAATCATTATTTTTAGTTGATGTTGGGTACACAATGCATGCCCCAAACAATCCACAGATAAACCATTAAAAATTAATAAGAAATTTTTTAGTAAAATTACTGAGTATAAGGTCAAACTAGAAAAATCAATTGTATTTTCATGTACCAAAACAATTGAATAAAAAAAATTTTTTAAGATACCATTTATTTTATTTTTATTTTAGAGACAGGGTCTCGCTCTGTCACCCAGGCTGCAGTGCAGTGGGACAAACATAGCTCACTGCAGCCTTAACCTCCTAGACTCAAGTGATCCTCCTGCCTCAGCTTTCCATGTAGTTGGGACCACAGGTGTGCACCACCATACTCAACTAATTTTTTTTTTTAAGAGACAAGGTCTTGCCACGTTGCCCAGGCTGGTCTCAAACTCCCAGGCTCAAGTAATCTTCCCACGTTGGCCTCCCAAAGTGCTGGGATTATAGGCATGAGCCACTGCAACCAGCCAAAAACCAAAAGATACCATTTAAAATAGCAAAAGATGGCTGGGCATAGTGGCTCACTCCTGTAATCCTAGCACTTTGGGAAGCCAACGTGGGAGGATCGCCTGAGCCTGGGAGTTCGAGACCAGCCTGGGCAACATGGCAAGACTCGGCCTCTTAAAAAAAAAAAAAATTAGCTGGGCATGGTGGCATGCACCTGCAGTCCTAGCTACTCAGGAGGCTGAGGTGGGAGGAACACCTGGGCCTGGGAGATTGAGGGTGCGGTGACGTATGTTCGTTCCATTGCATTCCAGCCTGGATGACAGAGCGAGACCTTATCTAATAAATATTAATATAAAATAGCAAATGACATCAAATATCTAAGAATAAAACTAATTAAAGATGCACAAGTTACCTACACCAAAAATCACAAAACATTACTGAGAGAAATTAAAGAAAACCCAAACAAAAGAGGGTGAGGCATGTTTGTGAATCAGAAGACGCAATATTATAATAGTGTCAGTTCTCTCCAAACTGATTCATATAATTAACTAAATCCCAAGAAAACTATTAAGACTTTTTAAATGGAAACTGAAAATCTGATTCTACAATATGTAAGATAATGCTAAGGGCTAAGAACAGCCAAGATAATCTTAGAGAATATTGTTAGAAAACTTGGATAAACACTTACAAAAGCTAGAATAATTAAGATAGTACAGTACTGACATAAGGATAGACAAAGATCAATACAACAGATTTAAGAGACCAGAAATGAACTCCCAAATTCATAGTCACCTGATTCATAACAAAGATGACACTGGAATGCAGTGGGGGAAAGAATGACATTTTATTTTATTGTTATTTTTCTGAGACAGAGTCTCACTCTGTCATCCAGGCTGAAGTGCAGGCACAATCTCAGTTCACTGTAACTTCTGTTTCCTGGAGTCAAGCGATTCTCTTGCCTCAGTCTCCGGAGCAACTGGGAGTACAGGCATGTGCCACCGTGCCCACCTAATTGGCTAATATTTTTGTATTTTTAGTAGAGACAGGGTTTCAATATGTTAGCCTGGCTGGTCTCTAACTCCTGACCTCAAATGATCCACCCACCTCAGCCTCCCAAAGTGCTGAGATTATAGGTGTGAGCCACCACGCCCAGCCAATATTTATTTATTTAAATACACTGTAGCAAGAACTATGGTAATTACCAGGACAAGATCATGCATCTTAAAAAAAAATTCAGAATACAAATGTAATAAGGCAGTCAAGCTGTGATTTCTGTAAAGCTTTCTAACTTGTTCAAGATACCAAAGTGCACTAACACTTGACTTATTAACAATTGACTCTTTGGTTACCTCTGCTATTAGAAAAAGACAATACATCAGGCATAATACCTATATAACCATGAAACTCCATTTAGTGGGGAAAGCTATGGAACATGCTATCAGACAGACCTGGATTTTTGTTCTAGCTTGCAACTTACTGTCTGTGAGACGCTGAACAAGTCACTTAAATTAGATTCTAACCTCAGTTTTCTTACCTGAAAAATGGAGATAAAAAGATAATTTTCCATACCTAAGGTAAACTGGAGGTAAGGTGATTTACTGGACAAGGATATTGGATTTACTGGACTGCCTGATATTGTTATCTGAATATGGTAAAGATATGAAGATTAAATGATCATACCTCAAACTTAACTTTTCCACAATAGTTTTTATTTTCCATATCCCCAACTTACTACTCTTCCAGATTTTCTCATTCTATTAAATGATCAAGGCTAGAAATAAAACTTGAGTTTCTTTTCCTTACCATCTCCAGTACTTAATTTATCAGCAATTTGGAGATAGTCAGCCCTATCTCCAAATGTATCCCTGACTACTTTTCCCTGTCTTTGCTACCAACACTCAAGTCCAAACTGTCCCAGACTCTGCAACAGCCTTTGCCCTGCTTCTGCTTTCACTCACACTTCAATGGACTATTCAGCTGTGATCTTTTAAAAATGGGATTCAGATTATACCACTCCAGCTCTAATAGCTTCCCAGTGCAAATGAAATAAAATCTAAACTCTTTACTATGGTCCATAAGGCCCTACACAATCTGGCTCCCACCTACTTCTCTTATTTTGTATTCCTTGCCCCTGCATTTCCTGGAATCTAGACCTATGCTGTCTGATATGAGAGCTATGAGCCACATGTGGCTATTTAATTTAGAATTAAAATTCCGTTCCTCAGTCACATAGCCACAGTTCAAGTTCTTAATGGACAGAAACATATAGCTATAGGCTACTGAACTGGATATCACAAAATGAAAGATTTCCTTCAGCACAGAAAGGTCCATGGGACAGCACTGCTCTAGACATATGGCAAACCAATTCCTACCTTCAGGACTTTGTACTTACTACTCTCTCTTCTGCAAGGCTCTTCCCCAAGATTCTGAGATGGCTGGCTCCTTGGCATAGTTCAGGTCTCAGCTCAAATGAAGCTCCATGGAGAAGCCCTCTAAATTAGATTGGGCCATCCAATCTGAAATAGCTCCTAATCTCCCCCATCTCCAGATATTCTATATTCCTTATCCTGTTTTATTTTTTTCACAGCATTCATCACTATCTGAAATTATTTTGTTTTATTCTTCTGTTTCCAGTGACAGAATGTTAGCTCCATGAAGGCAGAGACTATGTTTGTGTGCTCACAGCTGTATCTATAGTGACTGGAATACCACCTGGCCCATAGGAAGTGTAAAATAAATTGTTGAACAAAGCAATAAATATGTACCTGAAAGAACATGAGTTTTGGAGTTAAACCAACCTGAATTCCACTCTTAACCCTTCCATTTACCAGCTGTCAAATCTTAAGAAAAGTTATTTAATCTCCGAGCCTAGTTCATAGTGTTTTCATGAAGACTAAGACAAAGCATGCAACATGCCTTGTATTGTTACTATTAAAACAGCCCCTTACTGAGGCAGGAGAATTGCTTGAACCTGGGAGGTGGAGGTTGCAGTGAGCCAAGATCACGTCACTGCACTCTAGCCTGGGTGACAGAGCCAGACTCCACCTCAAAAGACAAACAAACAAAACAGCCCCTTAAAGTTGGGAGAACAGAAAAACACCAAAAAAAAGGGGAGGAGATGGGGGGTGTCACACCTGTAATCTCAGCACATTAGTTGGGAGGCCAAGGCAGGCAGGTGACTTGAGGCCAGGAATTCAAGACTAGCCTGGCCAACATGGCGAAACTCCATCCCTACTAAAAATACAAAAATTAGCCCACATCCCTGTAATACCAGCACTTTGGGAGGCTGAGGAGGGTGGATCACCTGAGGTCAGGAGTTTGAGACCAGCCTGGCCAACATGGTGAAATCCCATCTCTACTAAAAATACAAAAATTAGCTGGGCGTGGTGGCACATGCCTGTAAGCACAGCTACTCAGGAGGCTGAGGCAGGAGAACCGCTTGAACCTCAGGAGGCAGAGGTTGCAGTGAGTCAAGGTTTCGCCACTGTACTCCAGCCCGGTCCACAGAATGAGCCTCTGTCTCAAAAAAATATAAAAATAAATGATTGTTACAGTAAGGCAGATCCTTTCCTCTTATCTACTATAGAAAATAACTATCATTAATTAATTAATGAACTTATTTTTTGGAGACAAAGTCTCACTTTGTGGCCTACACTGGAGTACAGAGGTGCAGTCATAGGTCACTGCAGCCTTGACCTTCTGGGCTCAAGCTATCCACCTGCCTCAGCCTCCTGTGTTACTAGGACAGCAGAAAATTATAAGAGCTATTTTTAAACACTTAAGGCTTCAGCTTAGCATACTACATTAGATTTTAACTCTGCGGTAGAGATTCTGATAGATTTAGATTTATAGTTCTAATTCTGGTACTGTTTGATCCACCACTACCTAGCAGTGGAACCATGATCTAGTCACTACTCTCTGAAGCTCAATTTTCCTTTTCTTAAGATGGTTCTATTAAGATTAGAGAACTAGTAAGATCCTTTCATTTTACCACTGAGATTCTTCAGTTTCATTATCTTATAGATAACTGTACTTCCTTTATCTTTCCAAATGAATTATGATGACAAGAAATCATTAATATTTAATACAAACCTCCATCAAGGCTCCGGGATGCCCGTTTACTTGCTGTACGCTCAAAGTGTGGGGCAGGCCTGTCAATTAGAGCACTAGCTTGCCTGGTCTGAGCTTGAGTCCGGCCACTATATCGAAATTTGGATCCCAGTGCAAGAAATTTGCTTTTGGGAATGGTGTCTGTAGATGTCAATCTGGGGGAGAAAGGTCATAATAGTCATATTATTATAGATTCATCTCATCATTGTAACACAGTAAAAACAAAATCAAGAATAAAAAAGTTTCACATTTCTTAGGGTTTCCATATAGTTACTAAGAGATTTTCAATCAAGTAACCATTATTTTAGTTCTTTGTCATTTCTCAAAGAAACCGGTATAATTTAGTTGGGACCTATATTAATAGTATCATTTCTGCCGGGCGCGGTGGCTCAAGCCTGTAATCCCAGCACTTTGGGAGGCCGAGGCAGGTGGATCACGAGGTCAAGAGATCGAGACCATCCTGGTCCACATGGTGAAACCCCGTCTCTACTAAAAATACAAAAAAATTAGCTGGGTATGGTGGCGCGTGCCTGTAGTCCCAGCTAGTCAGGAGGCTGAGGCAGGAGAATTGCCTGAACCCAGGAGGCGGAGGTTGCGGTGAGCCGAGATCGCGCCATTGAACTCCAGCCTGGGTAACAAGAGCGAAACTGTCTAAAAAAAAAAAAAAAAAAAAAAAAAGTATCATTTATATCTCTATAGAAAGGGCCTTATAGTTTTCAAAATGTTTTTATAGCACTGCAGTATTTTTGCTACATCCTTGTAATGTTTTCACCATTTTATAGATATAGGAAACTGAACCTCAAAAAAGAAGTTACTTGCTTAAGATCACACAGCTGTTAGGATATTGGGCAGTAACAAAGTCCAAGCCCAGAGCTCTTTTTCCATTCTACTAGAATCACAGTTTTGTCAAATGTCCTCCAAACTGAATTAATCCCTAGTAATCTATTTAACAGGTTATTTGGTAATTTTTAAACTCAGAAACCCCATCTTTTTCTTATGCAGTACTCTATGTATTCTTTGTACCATACTGAATTAAAACAATCTATTTCTATGCTGGTCTCCCCTACAAGACTGAATTCTCTAGGAGTAAAGAACTAAGACCATGACTTATTCATCTTTGTATTTTTGCTTCTGGCATAGTGCCTAGCATGAATATGGTACCCAATAAATATTTGTTGAATAAATACATAAATTACTACATCAAATACTACCAAAAAGACAGCATTTTTCCCTTTGAGATAATTAATTTCAATTCAGCAAACATACACTTTCTTTCATGTAATGGAGCATTACATTTTAAGGTATCCTTTTATTTTGATGCAACAGATTTAAATATGCCATCCTACAAATAAGTATACTGGCTGCAGCGGAAATCTATACTACAGTTATCAGATATTTAAAAAATCACTCTTTTTTACTACTTGCCCTTTTTAAAAAATTCTACTTCTGTGGTTTGATTTTAAAGGAGGGATGATGAAAGCATAAATAAATGTGTTAATGCCAATAATTAAGATTCTTTAATTGGGTATAAAGTGCACCCTCACGTTTTATTTTGAAATAACTGAAAAATATTTTCCTTGATTTTTCTCCCTGTTGATTGTGCTATAGTGCTATTATATGAAAACATAAATAGGAAAAGATATGAGGATTATCTCTCCCTTTTTCTGTGGAGAGCCATTTATAAAGAATTAAGTTTATTTATGAATCAAATTATGTGAGGCCTGGGATTTGCTTCAAAATAATCTCGGAAGTAGGGGGAAGGAGTAGGTAGGGATATAGATGAAACAAGATTGGCTTTGGGGTGATAATTACTGAAGGTGGGTGATAAGTACAAGGAGATTTTATTGTACTGTTGCTACATACAAAATTTTCCTTAATAAAGAAACTCTTAAAAAAGGCAAACTAGGGCGGGTGTGGTGTTTCACGCCTATAATCCTAGTACTTTGGGAAGCCAATGTGGGCAGATCACCTGAGGTCAGGAGTTCAAGACCAGCCTGGTCAACATGGCAAAACCTCATCTCTACTAAAAATTTAAAAATTAGTTGGGCATGGTGGTGCGCACCTGTAGTCCCAGCTACTTGGGAGGCTGAGGCCTCATGCTACTGCACTCCAGCATGGGCAACACAGTGAGACTCTGTCTCAAAAAACAATAACAACAACAACAAAAGGCAAACTGATAAATAACTAGCTAGTTCTCCTTTTAACACAAGTAATTACTTCTCTAAAGTCTGTCTTCTCTACTAGATTGGGTGTTCCATCATGAGAGAAACTAGAACTATCTTTTGGTATATTCCCAATGCCTACCATGGTGCATACAAGAAGGGTAAGCACACAGAAAATGTTTGGTAAATGAATTCAAGGGGTTAACAATATGGCCTCTTGGCACGGTGGCTCATGCCTGTAATCCCAGCACTTTAGGAGGCCAAGCCAAGTGGATCACTTGAGGTCAGGAGTTCGAGACCAGCCTGGCCAACACAGCAAAACTCCATCTCTACTAAAAACAGAAAAAATAGGCAGGCATAGTGGCAGGCATCTGTAATCCTAGCTACTTGGGAATTTGAGGCAGGAGAATGACTGGAACCTGGGAGCAGCGAGCACAGACTGCACTCCAGCCTGGCAACAGAGCAAGACTCCATCTCGATCAATCAAACAAACCAAAAAAAGCAGAGGAAATACTTTCTTCTGTCTTCTGATTACCTGGCACAATCAGGCTTCAAATATGGTTCTGTGTGCTCCCTTTCTGGGGTTGATAAGGGCCAAGCTAACAATCAGCTTCACATCTTTAACCTTTTCATATAAAAGCCCCACAGAAAGCAGTTAAGCACTGCTTAAAGAAATTCCATGTAGAAAAAATAATAATAAAACAAAAAAATAAAAATTCTGTCCAGGTGCAGTGGTTTACGCCAGTAATCTCAGCATTTTGGGAGGCTGAGGCAGGCGGATCACAAGGTCAGGAGTTTTGAGACTAGCCTGGCCAACATAGTGAAACCCCAACTCTACTAAAAATATAAAAAATTAGCTGGGTGTAGTGGTGGGTGCCTGTAATCCCAGCTACTTGGGAGGCTGAGGCAGGAGAATCACTTGAACCAGGGCAGAGGTTGCAGTGAGCCGAGATCATGCCACTGCACTCCAGCCTGGGAGACAGTGCAAGACTCCATCTAAAAAAAAAAAAAGCCGGGCGCGGTGGCTCAAGCCTGTAATCCCAGCACTTTGAGAGGCCGAGGCGGGTGGATCACGAGGTCAACAGATCAAGACCATCCTGGTCAACACGGTGAAACCCCGTCTCTACTAAAAATACAAAAAAAATTAGCTGGGCGTGGTGGCGCGTGCCTGTAATCCCAGCTACTCAGGAGGCTGAGGCAGGAGAATTGCCTGAACCCAGGAGGCAGAGGTTGCGGTGAGCCGAGATCGCGCCATTGCACTCTAGCCTGGGTAACAAGAGTGAAACTCTGTCTCAAAAAAAAAAAAAAAAAAAAAAAAAAATCCATGTGGAGGTAAATGAGGGTAACCTCCCTTAATCAGACTGACTTTAGCTACAATTTGTGCAATCCCAGAGCCCCTAATAAATGCAGGTTTCCATTCCTTACTCCTTTCTTCCTTCTACCATACACAGAAAGGTGCTTTGGAAATGTTGAGGCATATTTTTCAACCCAAAGGGAGAGAAATGGATTCATTTTGTCTTGCTTAAGATGATCTCACCTGAGCTAAATAAAACAGTGCCAGTCATACAAAGAAAGGAATTTTAATAGCAGGCTTAAAATAGAAACATTATAAATAATTTATCCTTGAAAAATACTTAAGTGAGAATAATACCTGAAAAACGTGTGATGTTCTACACAGACTTTCCATAATTTCTTAGCTGCTCGGTAACTGGGAAGTTTGAATCCGATGGTACTTTCATACTGTTCTTGCTACAAAAACACAAATAAACATGGGACATGAAGTTATTACATGTGATACAGTACCAGATTACAGTGATCAGTACCAGAGAAATATAGTGCCACAGAAGAGGACACTGTTACCAATTTAAGGACATAAAATGTCATTTTAAATTTTTTCCTACTTACTGAAAGAAATTCACTCACTAGGGGTGGCTTTTTCCAAAGCAAGAAAACCAGGGAATACATCTCATAACATCTATGCATGTTATTTTGTTTTTCAGAAAACACACATTCACTATACATTTTTCTGAGACATAATTAAGTCACCTTTTGATTGTCTAGACACTGCTTTTCCTTAGTCACTATCTGCATGAGATACTATTCAATGAACAAGGAATGGGATATTGACCAAGTTCTCCAATCAATCAATATTATTATGCAATAGAAATTAGTAACAGGAGCTAAAGATTTTAGTTCAAGCCAGATTTTTAAATCAATCTTTTAAACTGACTGACTAATAAAAATTATATATACTTATCATCTGTGACATGTTTTGAAATATGTATAGTCTGTGAAATGGCTGAATTGAGCTGATTAACATATGTATTACCTGACATATTTAATAATTTTTTGTGATGAGAAAACTTAAAATCTAGTCTCTTAGCAATTTTTCAAGAATATAATACATTGCTATTAATGATAGTTCACCACGTTGTACAATAGATCTTTTGAACTTATTCCTCAGATTCTTAAATCACTAAATGTTTCTCTTTTTTTCCTTTGATTGATCATTAATTTATCTAGATACCACTTTGACTGAAGCAAACCATATTCTGCCAGGGCTACTAAAAACACTGTCCTGTTGACCTTTCACCTCTCTGTTTCTACTTTAACCATTTTTGAGACACAGTCTCGCTCTATTGCCAGGCTGTAGTGCAATGGCCCGATTTCGGCTCACTACAACATCCGCCTCCCAGGTTCAAGCGATTCTCTGGCCTCAGCCTCCCGGGTAGCTGGGACTACAGGCACGCATTACTATGCCCAGCTAATTTCTGTATTTTTTTTTTTTTTTAGAAGAGACAGGATATCACGATGCTGGCCAGGATGGTCTCGATCTCTTGACCTTGTGATCCACCTGCCTCAGCCTCCCAAAATGCTGGGGTTACAGACGACAGCCACTGCACCTGGCAAACTTTAAGCATATTTTATAAGATGGAAAGGAAACTAACACTTATTTTGTGTCTACTATTGCCAATAACATTATGATTAGATAGTATCATCTATATTTTTACACATGAAGACACTGAGGTCAGAGAAGTTTTCCTTTTCCCTTTTTTAAACTTTTTTTTTTTTTTCTGCCAGATACCTCTAGTTCAAGAGGTCAGAGAAGTTATTTGCTCATTTCCACAGGTATGAAATGACAGAATCAGATTTTCACCCTCTTCACCATACCACGCCACAGTGAAATCATCTATTGCAGCCACAATACTCTGTTTCTCAAAATCCTGTTATTCCTGATTACCTTCTTAAATAAGAATTCTACCTTTTTAGAAGCTAAAGACTTCCCATTATCATATTAACATGTGTGAGGGATGGGATTCTAATTTGCTGTTACATTCCTGGTCCCTAGAATAGTGTCCAACACAGGAAAGCTCTCAATAAATATTTATGGACTGAATAACTCTTGAATTTGAAATTTTAAGGAAAGACACTGATTGCTCTGTGCTAGGCATAGGTAAATAATTATGATACAAAATAAATGCCTCTATGGTAATCCCCACCCAAGACTTTTAAGGCTGCATATCCAGAATTTCCAGGCTCAAATAAAGAGCCATTTTTCACCAGCAGATGGTGATATATACATAAAAAAGCCACTTCAGGTTAGCATCATTTCCTACATAGAACTTTTATTGCTGTCATCTCATTTGATCTTCAAATAACTATGATGGAGAGGTTATTATCCTGCTCAAATGATAAGGAAGCCGTAGATTTGTCCAGGTCTTTTGCTTAGTATGTGGCAGAAAAGAAGCCAGAACTTTTTTAAAAAAAACTTTAATTCCTACTTTAACAATTTTATGCTATTCCATAATGGCTCTTCAATACAAAAGTTAAATTTGGCCAGCATTAGTATATCCTGAAACCAACTAATAAATGAATTATCTGGCATGAAGTTGAACATCCAACTCTATTAATAATCTAGAACTTGGCCCTAGAACACACTCTCAGTAGCCATGAGAAGCTATGCATACAAATAGATTTTACTTATATGAGGTAAGGCATTCATGGGGCCAAAAATGAGTAATTTATCCCCACAAATAATTTTAAAATCTCATGCTACTCAATTTAAAAATATTTTTCCATTAAGTTTTTGCTTGGAGTAAACAAGGAACAAATCTATCAGTTTAACTTTTTGTGATGGCATATTTACTTACAAAAAGTGAACTGTCCAGAAGACCAGTAGTAAGAAAAAGAAGCAGCATCACAGGACTGATCAACTTAGAAAACGGAATTATCAGTCCTTGAATAGTTAACTACAGAGAGACTTCTTCGATGACTTAATAAGGAAAATGGAAATGAACAGATATGTCAGATACAGTCTGCATCTGGTTTAGCAGGAAGGAAATACAAATTCTGTACCTCTCCAGGCCGAATCTTGATGAAAAAGCTGCTACGTTTATAAGAAATCTTTAGCACTTTGGGCCAAGGGAAGCGGTTAATTCTCAGCTTATCTTTGTAAACCAGAAGGCCACTAGAGCAGACACCTAGGATGATGTCTACTCCCTCCAAGTCCTGAAAAAGAAAAATGTTAGCATTTCAGTCTGGAGCAAAGAACTCAATATACTGTTGACTATTACTAGATAATCTGAAGATAACCAAAACCAGTTACAAAACATACAATGAAAAAGAAAGCTTAATCTAACAATTACAATTTATGGGCCTATTATATTTAAATCAGCAGTCATGACTTCCTGGAGAGCAGGGCTTAGAGCTAGGTATACTATCAAAAGTATATGCACAATTATTAATATAATTCTTGTTTTTTTATGATAAAGCAGTACTAGCTCCAGAAATCATGTTAAGTGTAGGAGTTACTCTATTCCTATATAAACTCAGCATAAAACAATCTTAGGTTCTTAAAATCGATGTTAACTATATTAAATTAAAAATATGATCCCTAAGTCAAGATGTTACATTAAGGCACAATTAAGTCATATTTACATGTCTCTTTATTTATTTACTTATTTTTTGAGACAGTCTCGCTCTGTCACCCAAGCTGGAGTGCAGTGGTGGGATCTCATCTCACTACAACCTCCACCTCCTGGATTCAATTGATTCTCCTGCCTCAGCCTCCTGAGTTAGGATTACAGGTGCACACTACCATGTTATTTGTTTGTATTTTTTGTAGAGACGGGGTTTCACCATGTTGGTCAGGTAGGTCTTGAACTCCTAACCTCATGATCTGCTTGCCTCAGCCTCCCAAACTGCTGGGATAAACAGGTGTGAGCCACCACGCCCAACCTATAATAACATGCCACTTTATTAAATAATAACTTTATTTAATAATAACATGCCACTTTATTAAACTTTTAAAAAATTAAATATGTAATATTAATCTATATCTGTAATTCAAAAATAAATTTCGCCTGAGTTAGTTCCTACAGCTAAGATTGTTTAGATAAGTAATCAAAACACAAAGTTAAATGTTTCTTAACTACTCTTTTCCCGAAAATGAGTACAGAAAAATATATTAGTGCCTACATGTATTATATACAAGCATAACAGAGAAGTAGAAATTACATAAAATTCCAATTCAGTGACTGTGTAACTGAGAATTTCCCAGAAGATACCCTCTTAAATTTTTAAAGCTTGCAGGTATAACTACATCTCACTTTGGAAAAACAATTTGCTTTATAATACTGCATCAATACCTGACTTAACACCAGTTTCCAGCAGGAATTGAAAAGCAAAATGAACCATTTCAGTTCTAGAAATATATCTAATCTGATGTACTGATCTTCCTCCAATATACTTTAGAGATTCATAGAAGTTGTAGTACCCAGCCAAAAACAATCCAGAGCAATTTTTTTTTTTTTTTTTTTTTTTAGACAAGGTCTCAACTGTTGCCCAGGCTGGAGTGCAGTGGTACAATCTAGGCTCACTGCAGCCTCTACCTCCTGGGTTCAAGCAATCCTCCCACCTCAGCCTCCAGAGTAGCTGGGACCACCAAAGGCACACACCACCATGCCTGACTAATTTTTTGTATTTTCTGTGGAGACAGGGTTTCATCATGTTCCCCAGGCTGGTGTTGAACTCCTGAGCTTGAGTAATTGACCGCCTCAGCCTCCCAAATTGTTGGGATTACAGGTTTGAGCCACCATGCCTGGCACTGATCCTCCCCAGCAACTTTAGTAGTTGAAGATGAGAAAAGTCAGGAGACTTTCCTTAAGTATTCATTCTGTTAGGTTGCATTAGGTAGAACTAGGATTAAAGCTCCAGTTTCCACAGCCCTATCCTAGTGGTTTTTGAATGAGCCACTGTAGTTCATTCAGTGTGCCTCAGAATAACCTGGAGAACTTGTTAAAATGTATTGCACTGAGCTCCACCCCCAGAGGTTCTAACTCAGTAAGCTTGGGATGGGGCCTAAAATACGTATTTCTAACAAGTTCCTAAGTGAGGCTAAATGTTGCTGACTCAGAGACTACACTTTGAGAACCACTACTCTAGGCCAATGGTTTTCATATTCAAGCATGAATTAGAATCATTTGGATGCTTATTAAATCTGGAGATTCTAGAACCTCTTCTCCAAATTAATTCTATAAATATGAGAAGAGCTCAGGAATCTCCATATTTAATAAACACCCCTTTGATGATTCTCATGTAGGTGATGCTGGCTGTCAAACAGGCCTGCTGCCCACGACTCTATAATTTTAAATGTTACTTTTAAATGTTTCCTTTTAGGAAAATCAATTTCCTTTTCTCTAGGGGGCTATCTTTTGATCTTAACAGTAGCTTGGATATGAAACTTTATTTGGAGACTGGATACTCTAAGAGGAAAATTCAATTGATACAGTTTACTGATTTAACTGATACACTTAAAATGCTAACAAGAACTACTATTTCCCTCTTTTTTTTGAGATGAGGTCTTGCTGTCACCGGGGCTGGAGTGCAGTGCATAATCATAAGTCACTGTGCCCTCAACCTCCTGGACTCAAGTGTGCCCTCAACCTCCTGGACTCAAGTGATCCTCCTGCCTCAGCCTCCTGAGTAGCTGAGACTACAGGCATGAGCTACTGTGCCTATCTAGTATCCCTTCTGAATGTTTTAAAATACCCCAGTTGTTGGTAAGAAGTATTATATGACACAAATGTGATATATACAAAACAGATAATGTATCATATAATGTCTTACACATGGATATTAATAAAGGACAAAGTTATCATTACCTTTGCTTTATGAAGATCAACCCCATACATAGACAACTTTTTGGCATTCTCAAGAAATTCCAAGTCAGCCTGAGCTGGAGTCATGGACCTTTGATAGAATAAAAACATAAAATTATTTCAGTGTCATAGTGTCAGCATTTACAGTAACATTTAAATATTCATTGTATTTAAAACACATGAACATATACATACCACTGTGTATGTAAGATATACTTCCTAGTCCTGAAAGTAGGTTATTATGGAACAGGACTCATTACTACCTCTATTTAAATAATTAAAATATGCCTTAGAAAAAGATATCATGGGAAACAAAAAGTTACCAAAAATCTACCCCCTCCAATTTTTTTCAATACTACTAAACAATTTTTTTAAAGCTATTTCATCTATCATTAGTTCTGCCCCTTTTGCTTTACTCTTTTTGTCCAACATATACAAACTCCTCCCACTAATTTTTCTTGCCAAAGAGATGATCAAATTAAATCCTCAGGCCGGGCGCGGTGGCTCAAGCCTGTAATCCCAGCACTTTGGGAGGCCGAGGCGGGTGGATCACGAGGTCAAGAGATCGAGACCATCCTGGTCAACATGGTGAAACCCCGTCTCTACTAAAAATACAAAAAAATTAGCTGGGCATGGTGGCACATGCCTGTAATCCCAGGTACTCAGGTGGCTGAGGCAGGAGAATTGCCTGAACCCAGGAGGCGGAGGTTGCAGTGAGCTGAGATCGCGCCATTGCACTCCAGCCTGGGTAACAAGAGCGAAACTCCATCTCAAAAAAAAAAAAAAAAATTAAATCCTCAGAGGGCACGGTGCAATTTACAATAACCTCTTATAGCTGCCTTTTTCTCTCCATATCCCTGAATTGAGTTATGGAAATTAAACAAAAGGGCAGCTGATGTTATTTAACTGAGGACTCTTAATTGGGGCAGCCTTGAAGAAAAGAAAATTTCTGGTAACAGATGGTGTCTTGTCCACTGATATAAACAAAATAAACTGGTCAACAGAAGCACATAGCTAATAGTGTGCTGCTTTCTCTGTTATTAATATGTCTTCATTACCAGGCATATAATGAATTAGATTTGTTTGAAAACAGTCAGTCTCACTGTCTAAACACTCACTGTGACAGTCTTCTCCTCTATAAATTTTCCCTCTTTTGAAAAGTGTTCATGAGCTGTTACATAGAGCTTTCAAGACAAAAACATCACTCCTAATGCTGCACAATTCAGACCAATCAAGTATAACTTCACAGTAACAATAATACAGCCATATCCCCAAGGAAAAAATATGTAAATGTCAGTTTCCCATAAGACTGCCTCAAGCTAGAGAAAGCTGCAGGGGTCTCTGCATTTAACAAAAAAAAGTCTCTTCCAAATACATCTGTCTTTACCCTAATTAAAAAGACAAAAGATTCCTTGGAACAACCACCACCAAATATATATATATATATATAACAGGAGAGAGGCTGCAGATTTGTTAATGACTCAGACTTCGTGAATAAACTTATTTTCACAAGCACTGAAGCATTCTATCAATTCTATTCATTAACGAACCTGAAATTGAAGAATAAAAGGAGAATGGAAAATTAGCCCCTTATGCAACTCTGTATATTCAAGTCATTACAAGCATTTCAGGAAAGTTTTGTACTTTAAAATTGTTTTTCCATCTAAATTACATACATTTTTTTCTTTTTCTTTATTTTGAGATGGAGTCTAACTCTGTCGCCCAGGCTGGAGTGCAGGCTTTCAGCTCACCGCAACCTCTACCACCTGGGTTCAAGTGATTCTCCTGCCTCAGCCTCCCAAGTAGCTGGGATTACAGGTGCATGCCACCACACCCACCAACATGGGGTTTCATCATGTTGGTCAGGCTGCTCTCGAACCCCTGACCTTGTGATCCACCCGCCTCAGCCTCCCAAAGGGCTGGGATTACAGGTGTGAGCCACCACGCCTGGCTAGTTACATTTTTTCTAGTTAGAGTTACTCCTATTTTATGTTTCTGTTGTTGTTACTGTTATCAATGAGATGAATTTTAGGATTTTTTCTTTTTTTCTTTTTGAGACAGGGTCTCACTCTGTCACCCAGGCTGCAGTGCAATGGTACAAACACAGCTCACTGCAACCTCCACTTCCCAGGCTCAAGTGATTCTCCCACTTCAGACTCCTGACTAGCTGGGTCTACAGGTGGGTGCCACCCCAGCTAATTTTCTTATTTTTTATACAGATGAGGTCTTAGTATGTTGCCCAGGCTGATCTTGAACTCCTAAGCTCAAGCCATCCTCCAGCCTCAGCCTCCCAAAGTAGTAGGATTACAAGCGTGAGCTACCACTTCTGGCTGAATTTTAGAATTTTGAGGCTGGAAAGGAGCTTGAAGTTTAAAGAATATAACAATTTCATTTTGCTGTTGAAGAAACAGGTCCTCAGGGATCACATTATCACAGGCAGGTTAGGATCCTTAGTTGAGACAGCAGACTTAAGTCAGAACTCAAGTCGTATTACTTGGGCTGGAATCCAGGCTCCATGAGTGGTCAGCCAGTGTCTCCCTCCATCTCCTTTATAAAACAAGAATCATAATAATGTGTATTTCCAGATACTAGGGCAGGCAATGATTTTTTTTTTGTTTTTGCTGAATGAATGAATGCTATTAGGATCGAAATAATGGTTGTAAAACTGCTTTATAGACACGAATAGTTATTATTATTGCAACCTCAGTTTTCTGATCGTCCAGTGGTTCATCTACATACAGATCATAAAATTAAGAAACACAATTTGGATCACTTGAATCTGAAGACAAATTTTAAAACATTAAATAAAGCAATCATGATAAAATCTTCCCTATACTCACTCCTCCTACCCTACCCTAAGGGACATTAATAGGGTCAATCAATTTGAATATAGATTTAAATTTCACAGTATGTAGTTAGATGCTTCTATAAATAAGCATGCTTTACATGCTTCTATAAATAGCATGCTTTAAAAAGTAAGGAGAGGCCGGGCGCGGTGGCTCACGCCTGTAATCCCAGCACTTTGGGAGGCTGAGGCGGGTGGATCACGAGGTCAAGAGATTGAGACCATCTTGGTCAACATAGTGAAACCCTGTCTCTACTAAAAAAAAATAAAATAAATAAGGAGAGATCTTTAACTTTAAAACTTCCTTGTTAGTTGAAAATAATATTTATATTTGAAGTTTGACTGATGTTTGCATTTAAAAATTTTAATCTAATTTTTAGCCAGGCTCAGTGGCACACACCTATGGTCCTAGCTACTCCGGAGGCTGAAGCAGGAGTATTGCTTGAGTCTATGAGTCTAGGTGACATAAAGAGACCTTGTCTCTAAAAAAAGAAAGAAAAAGAATAATTTTAGCTGGGTGCGGTGACCTGCAGTCCCAGCTACTTGGGAGGCTGAGGCAGGTAGATTGCTTGAGTTTAAGGCTGCAAGTGAGTTATAATTATACCTGTAAATAGCATTGCACTTCAGGTTGCACAACATAATAAGATCCCTTTAAATTTTTTTTAAAAATATAATACTAATTTAAGAAAAAGATATTATTATTATTTTTTGAGTCTCGCTCTGTTGCGCAGGCTGGAGTGCAGTTGCATCATCTCAGCTAACCACAACCTCCACCTCCTGGGTTCAAATGGTTCTATGGTTCTCCTGCCTCAGCCTTCTGAGTAGCTGGTAGCTGGGACCATAGCCACGCACCACTATACCCAGCTAATTTTTGTATTATTAGTAGAGAAGGAGGGGTTTCACCATATTAGCCAGGCTGGTCTCAAACTCCTGACCTCATGATACGCCCACCTCAGCCTCCCAAAGTGCTGGGATTACAGGCATGAGCCACCATGCCTGGACAAGAAAAAAAAATTTTTTAAGAGACAGAGTCTTGCTCTGTTGCCCAGGCTGGAGTGCACTGGCACCATCATGGCTCACTGCAGCCTTGACCTCCTGAACTCAAGCGATCCTCTTGCCTCAGCCTCCTGAGTAGCTGGGACCATAGGTGTGTGCCACCACACCCAGCTAATTTATTAATATTTTCATTTTTGGTAGAGACAGGATCTCCCTTTGTTGCCCAGTCCTGAGTAGCTGGGACTACAGGCATGTGCCACCACAACCAGCTTTTTGTTGTTGTTGTTGTTGTTGTTGTAGTTTTTGTAGAGATGGGGGTCTCACCATGTTGGCCAGGCTGGTCTTGAACTCTTGGGCTCAAGTGATCTGCCCAACTCAGCCTCCAAAAGTGCTGGAATTACAGCCATGAGCCATCATGCTCAGCCTTAAAATTTCAATTTATTTATGTCAGTACAGACTGATGAATTTTCATTTTATTCAATGTAGTACATCAATTATTTTCCTTATCTATTTTAATGCTTAAATTGCCCCAGATTTGATCAGTGGGAACCTCTCCAAGCTAGATTCTGTGTCCTTCTGACCATTTCCCATCATTTTTCCAGTATTTCCTTCTGATACAATGTAGTACAGTATGTATCTGTGTATGTATCTACCTTTTTACATCTATATTCTTATATCTACCTATCTATATATTGGAAACTGCAAGTTCACATTGAAGCCTCCAGTTTTAACACAATATACTAACAGGGTTCATTTTAGTTCCCCCTTTCCATAATTTAGGTCTCCCTTTACTGACAGTGAGAAACCTGACTCTCATTACCCTGAATACATTCACTAATTTGATCAGTCCCTCTCGATATGATCATATAATCTCTCATTGCAGCCATGGACCCCTCCCATATGTAGATGCCCTTTTCACCCTACTTGAACCCTGAATTCCCCATTCTGGGCTTCTTGGTACACGTGGATGTCCTCCTTACCTCACCAGGGTTCTGACTGCTGGTGTGGGACCATCTCTTCATCCTGCTTAGGTTTTGACACTCTGCATCAAGTACCACCCCATATGGATGTCCCCCACATCCTGCGTAGGCCTTTTCCCCACATGGATGCCCTTTTTGCTCTGCTTGGCTTTCGAAACCCACCACAAGGTGACCACACATTACTATCATCCTCATCCACTTGAAGCTGACTCTTCATGACAGGCTGTCCCCCAACCCATGGACCCACTTCTCACTCTTCTTAGGCCTCAA